CCGAAACTTTAAACACGTTTTTAACAAAAAAACTCAGTTTTTTTTTTAAGATTTTACTATTTCGTAGCCAAAAAGAATGATCTTAGATATTCATTTTTGCTTTCTTTGAAAGTTTCATTATGTGTTTCGCTCAAAAACCAAAAAAATCGCCAAATTATAATATTTTATATTAATTTTTTTCGAAACTTTGCATTTTAGAAAAATGAACGTTTTTTTTAAGATTTCGCTATTTCGTAACTAAAAAGAATTATCTTAGATATTTATTTTTGCCTTCTTTGAATGGTTTATCATGTGTTTTGCTCGAAAACCAAAAAAATCGCCAAATTATTTGAAAAATTACTAAATTAATTGAAAAGTAACATTATATTTTCCGAAACTTTAAACACGTTTTTAACAAACAAAAGATTGTATTATTTTGTAGCCAAAAAGAAATATCTTAGATATATTTATTTTTGCTTTCTTTGAAAGTTTTTTGCTTTTGCTTTTTTGGCAAGAAAGTATTTTTTAGTGAACTTGTGGATACTTTCACATAAACACCAAAAGACAAAAAAGACAAAATATCTTATTATTTAGGAATGGTCAGGTTCCCGTTTTATTTTCGTAATTTTTTAAAAAAGCCTCAGGAATTACGAGTTAATTCTGTCCTTTGGTTCAAGTAATTTTAAAGTATGTAATTTGGTTCCAAATGAAATTTTAATAAAAATTTTTGTAATAATTTTTTAATATAGTTGAAATTTAGGCTGATGATTGCCGAAACATGTTGCTACGATAGTAAATGATAATTTTTTTACAATTTGGGGGAAGCAAATTTGTTACTGTTAACCTTTTCAGTTCTAAAATAAAACGACTTTGCAGATTTAATCCAGAACAGTGGCAGATATAAACTAACAACTAAGAGTTGTTTTCATTGTTATGTAAATTTATGTTGGAATTATCAAATTATAAAAAAATATAGTTTTTCACACCTGTTTGTGTTATTTCTACTTAAAAAATGGATTAGAATTGACCGTTCCTAAGGTATTTTGTAGATATTGTGTTTTACTTTGCTGATTTGAGAAAACAATTTTGTTTATTTATGATTTTAAACCAAGACGTAAAAATTCATTTTTTTTTGCTTGAGTCAGCCGATATTTCCACCGGCAAACTAACAATGATGCTGTAAAATTATTGCGTAAATAGGACATTAAAAAAGGAAAGGTGGTATTAATAATATTTATTTTTTTCTGTGTCATAATCCAGGCTTTGTTAAATTTCACACATGTTTAAAACAATATGACATGGAGAAATTTTCTTATCTTTGAGCATTTATACAAAAAACTCGAGACAAGAAACAACTCGAAGAAAATATGTTATATTTTTATTTTTATCGTTTGTAGTTTTTCTAACACAATTAAAACATGTAACAAGTTGTCTGAAGACGTCGTCTTCTTTGTTTAAGAAGCAATCTCTATTTATATCTAGTTGAAGTGCTCGTTTGCTACCTGTAACATCTCAAACGTGCCATACACTCTCTAAGTAGAACAACCGTTTGAATTTTTAACATGTTTTATCATCTCTTACCTGTTCTAAAACTACAATAAAACGTTATTTCCGATTTTAGATGGCAGATCCTGATCCTGAGACGTTGCTGGAATGGCTAAACAGCGGTTTGGGCGACGAGCGAGACATGCAGCTCATCGCTTTGGAACAACTATGCATGTTACTACTCATGTCTGATAATGTAGACCGCTGTTTTGAAAGGTGGTATTTCATTTAAAAAAAAAAAAAATCGATTTTGTGTGATAATTGAATTGTTTAGTTGCCCTCCTCGGACGTTTCTCCCAGCTCTTTGTCGTATTTTCCTCGACGAGCAAGCCCCCGAAAACGTCCTCGAAGTAACAGCACGAGCCATCACCTACTATTTGGACGTTTCGGCCGAATGTACTCGTCGTATTGTCGCTATTGAGGGTGCCGTCCGTGCCATATGTAATCGTCTTGTCGTTGCTGAATTATCATCAAGAACAAGCAAAGATCTAGCCGAACAATGTGTCAAAGTATTGGAGCTTATTTGCACACGTGAAGCCGGTGCTGTGTTTGATGCAGGAGGTCTCAGTGCTATACTTCCTTTTATTCGAGATAATGGAAATCGAGTACATAAAGATACGCTACATTCGGCTATGGCGGTGGTATCGAGATTGTGCACCAAAATGGAACCGGCCGATGTGCAATTACCGACATGTGTGCAAGCTTTGAGCACGCTTTTGAGACACGAGGATTCGCATGTGGCCGATGGAGCGTTGAGGTGTTTTGCTTCGGTGGCCGATAGGTTTACGAGGAGGGGGGTTGATCCTGCACCCTTGGCTCAACATGGTGAGGAAACTATGTCAATTTTATGACAAAACGATCAGTTTTAAATCTCATTGTTTTCGATGTTCGTTATACAAGGTGCGCCAGAGAAAAGATACCAGGAACATTACAAAATTTGTAAGATTATGTCAAAAGAAAGGAAAAAAATTATGCCTGAAATATGTTATTTTTGCTTATTTTAGTGAATTCAGAGCATTTTCTTTTGAGAAAATTACAAAATTTGACAGGTTTTCTTAAACAAAGGTAAAAAAAATGTAAAGTTAAGCCCGAAATGTGTTACTTTTGCTTATAATAATTTTAGAGCATTTTCCTATGGATTGTATATTCCAATGGGAAGATTTTGTTAACAAGAAAAGGTAAAAAATCGCAAATTTAAGTCTGAAATCTCCGAATTTTGCTTAAAATTCCTTAAAATTTGAAAGATTTTGTTAAAGAAGGTAAAAAAAAACGTAAATTTAAGTCTGAAATGTGTTATTTTTGTTTATTGCAAAGAATATAAAGCGTTTCCTGTTAAAAAATTAAGCTTGAAATGCATTATTTTTCCCTTATTTAAATGGATTTATAGCGTTTTTCACGGAAAAACAGAATTAATTCTAAAGTACAATATTTTTGTTGATTTGATAGACTTAGAATGTTTTCTACTAAGAAACTTAAAATCGAAAGATCTTGTCAAAAATGCTTCATTTTTGCTTATTTCAATGAAATTTGAGCGGTTTTTTTGAAAAAAAAAAAAAAAATTTCGAAGATTTTGTCAAGAGAAGGCAAAGAATGTGTTATTTTTGCTTATTTTAGCGTTCCTTCGAGAAAACTACAAAAGGTGAAAAAATTGCAAAATAAAGCTTCAAATGTGTTATTTTTGCTTATTGTAATGAATCTATGGGAATATTTTAAAATTCAGAAGATTTTGTCCAAAGAAGGAAAAAAAATACAAAATTAAGCCGAATATGTCCCAATTTTGCTTATTTAATGAGCAATTTCCTTAAAATTCGTAAGATTTTGTAAAAAAAATTAAGTGGGAAATGTTATTTTTGCTTATTTTAAAAAATTTAGAGCATTTTTCTTTGAAAAAATTACAAAATACGAAAGATTTTCTTAAAAGAAGATAAAAAAATGTAAAATTATGCCTGAAATTTGTTATTTTTGCTTTAGTGAATTCAGAGCATTTTCTTTTGAGAAAATTACAAAATTCCACAGATTTTCTTAACAAAAGGTAAAAAAAAATGCAAAGTTAAGCCTGAAATGTGTTAGTTTTGCTCATTATAATAAACTTAGAGCATTTTCCTATGGGAATAAAAAAAAGGTTACAAATCGCAAAATTAAGCCTGAAATGTCTGATTTTTAAAATTTGAAAGATTTTGACAAAAAAATGTATAAAAAAAACGTAAAAGTAAGTCTGAAATGTGTTATTTTTGTTTATTGCAAAAAATATAAAACGTTTTTCTTTGAGAAAATTACAAAATTAAGCTTGAAATGCGTTATTTTCCTTTATTTCAATGGATTTATAGCGTTTTTCACTGAAAAACTAAGAAAATTAATTCTAAAGTACGATATTTTTGTTGATTTTGGTAGATTTTGATTGTTTTCTACTTAGAAGCTTAAAATCGAAAGATTTTGTCAGAACAAAATAAAAAAATTACAAATTTAAGCCTGAAATGTGTTATTTTTGCTTATTTTAATAAATTTAGAGCGTTTTTCTTTGGGAAAATTACAAAATACGAAAGATTATGTTAAAAGAAGGTAAAAAAGTTGGAAAATAAGCCTGAAATGTGTTATTTTTGCTTGAATTTTGAGCTTTTTCCTTTGCGAAAATTACTAAATTCAAAATATTTTGTTAAAATAAGTTAAAGAAAAACTGAGGTAGAAGTTAACATTTTCTTCTTTTGTCAAAAATTTATGATCTAAAGTTATATTTAAAAATTGAAAAAACAATTTAGTTATATTTGTAGCGTTTTAAATCCAATTTATTATTTGTTAAATAAAATCTTGTAAATCTAAAAAAAATGCTACAATTTTTGTGTTTCAAATAATTAATAATAATAGACCTATATTTGATACTAAAAAATAAATAAACAACTCTAGAAACAAACAAAAAAAAAAGATCAAAATGTATTATAAAAATTCCAAAAAAATTAAATATTCAAAAGGTAATAATTTTATTAAACATGTGGGAAAATCTTAAGGAAGAATAATATAAGAAGTGATAGAAAGAAAACAAAAAAATAAAACCTAAAAAGCAAAAAAAAATGTAATAATATTAAAACAAGAATTCTCTTTAAAGTTTGCAAAATTGATTCACCTAAAATATGATGATTTGATAAAAATGTAAAAAAACATATTTTTTACTAGAATTCAAAAAGTTTAGTTTTCTTCACATTATTTGTAAAAACAAAAGAAAATTACGAAAAATTTTATTCCTGATAAAACGTCACATTTTTATATTACTTTATATTTATCAATTAGTTTTTCCAAAAAGTGAATAGTTTAACCAATAAACGTTTGGTTCCATACCTGGTATGCACTTTGTAGTGCCCTCAAAAAAATTTTTTACAGCCATTTTTAAAAACTTCCTTTTTGAAAATTATATGGAGACATAGCAAAAATCTGAGGCTTTTACTTGAATTCTTTGAGTATTTCAAAAACCTGTGTAATTGGTAATATTTTTGTTGATTTGATTTTACGATAAAAATTTTTACGCGTTCTATAACATTTGCGAAAATCGGAAAAAAATGAGATTTAAAAGTTATCGTTTTGGAATGGAATTACTCAATTCGAATTTTTTTTATTATTAATTCTGTTATTAGGTTTAGTGAATGAGCTTTTGAGTCGTTTATCGAACGCTGCTGGTCCGTCAGTGGCGACAGGTACTCAAAATACATCGGGGAAAGCCTCATCAACAACGAACGCCACTGCCGCTGTCCCAGACGCCAAAGCAACAGCAGCTTCAGTTTCAACAATAATTAGTTTATTGTCTACATTGTGTCGAGGATCACCTGCTATAACACACGTAATTACATGACCTCAAAACACGTGTCGTAACTAAAGTGTCTCAAATTTCAGGATTTGCTACGTTCCGAGTTACCTGACGCTATAGAAAAATCTCTGAAAGGCGACGAACGTTGTGCTTTAGATTCAATGCGTCTTGTGGATTTACTTCTAGTTTTATTATTTGAAGGACGTCGAGCTTTGGGTAAATCTGGTGGTGCTACAACTTCAGGTCAACTCTTACCAAGAATGAGACGAATGGATCCGGCGGCTGAAAAATCCCACCGACAACTTATCGATTGTATTCGCTCGAAAGACACTGACGCACTTATTGAGGCTATTGAATCGGGGGGAGTTGAGGTAGAGTTGAGTTACACAAAGTCGTATTTTTTTCAAAAAATTAATAATAGTTAAAAGTGAATATTTAATACAAATAATGCATAAAATCTTGCAATCGGCATTAATTAACAAAATAACAGATGTTGAAATGTTATTATAATGTTAGAGCGACAAAGTATTAAGTTCAAAGAGAGGTGAATCGTATCTAAGTAAAAAAAAATATTATGAAAGTAAAAAACATAAAATCACCATGTAGTAATTTGAGTGGGAATATAATAATGCAAATCGTTAATAATATAATAGAACAGTGCCAAAAAAAAAAAAATAGGGATTTTTGGAAAACAAGTTTTTCATTGCAAAAAGTGCACTGTTCAAAAAAGTATTGCCAAACACTGGCCGAGAGAAAATTCAAATATAATAATAAGATTAAGAACTCTACATAATGATTTTCATTTCCAAATTAATATGGAAAAAGTGAAAGTCTGCCAATTATTTTTTCTAAATTCATTGTTGAATAGTAGTAGATTTTTACGTGAAGCTCTGAAAAAATGTTTGACAACTGGAATAACCATAGATGATCAAAGAGGATAGAAAATTCCTAAAAACAAAACTCGAGATAATGTACAAATACATATAAAACACAAATTAGAAGACGTTTTGTACTTTGGTAGCGTTTATTTCTTGTGTTTGAAAGCTAATTTCTTTATGGATTATATCATTTTTTTGGATTCAATTAAAAGACATAGGAAAATTATATTTTAATACAAATTTCACAGAAAATTTTAAATTTCAATTTAGGGAGAAAAGCAAGAAAATCTTTAAATTTGTCATAATCACTTCTTCAATTTAGAAAAGAACGAAAACCCATCAGTAAATCAAAATACGATAACCGGAGGAAAATCAGGACCAGTGTTGCCATTTTGAATTTTTTTTTGAGTATTCGCCCAAATGTTAGTAAAATTAATTTTTTTAATTTGATTTTTTAATTATTTATGTAATAAATTCAGTCAAGAATGATGGCAGTATTTTTTTGTATTTTTTTGAGTTGTTTTAGCCATGCAGACACTCAAATGCTAAATTTTCTCAAAAACAAGTTGAAAAATCGAAAGAGATTTTTTTTTAATGATATTTCACTCAACAAGGTAAAAAAATCGCTGAAATGGGTCAAAAAGTACATTATTTTGAGCGTTTTAGTATGTTTTTAACCAGAAACAGAACTTATTTTGCAAAATTTCGTTAAAAATAAACGAAAATTTATCAAATTAGACCAAAACTAGTGTGATTTTTGCATTTTTACAGTCCTTCAGCACGTTTTCAAAATGCATTGAAATTTTTGCTAAAACTAACTGAGAAATTACCAAATTAGATTGAAATTGATATCATTTTAGCGTGTCTCGCTCGATTTAGTTCGTTTTTGAACCAGAGACTCAATTATTTTGCAGAATATTGGTGAAATTTCACCAAATCTGGTGATTTTTATACCAGTTTAATGATTTGGTGAAAACTTTTGTAAAAATTATAATTTCTGATGATTTTTTAGAAACGTGACTGTTGAGACAGCAGAAAATTAGTGTATTTTGAAATCATTTTTTTAAAATCGAGTATTCGCTCAAATGCTTGTAAAATTCATCTTTTTAATTTGAATTTTTTAATTACTTATGTAGTAAATTCAGTCAAGAATGATATTATTTTTTTTGAGTATTTTTTTGAGTTGTTTTAACCATGCATACACTCAAATGCTAAATTTTCTCAAAAACAAGTTGAAAAATCCAGAGAGATTTTTTTCTAAATGATATTTCACTCATCAAGGTAAAAAAATCGCTAAAATGGGTCAAGAAGTACATTATTTTCAGTGTTTTAGTATGTTTTTAACCAGAAACAACTTTGTTTCATTCGATTTAGCTCTTTTTGAGTGAAATTTTGTCAAAAAAATAGGACAAAAAATTCAAAATACGGTCGAAAACGGTGTTAATTGCAAGATTTTGCTAAAACAAACCAAAAAAAAAAACATCAAATTAAGTCATTATTTTTGCCTTTATCAAGTGTTTTAGCATGTTTTTCAAGTAAAAACGTAAATAGCGGGCGACTGTTGTAAATGATTTGGTGTCAAATTAAAAATTTAATTTGGCAAACTTGACTTTCAAATTCAAACGTCAAACTTTTATAGGCAATTATCATTCATTTGCGACGGGCGACTACTGAAACATTCCGATATAACAAATTTAGAAGGATCACCACTAATTCAGTGTTGCCAATAGATTTTTTGTCACCCGGTATTTCGCAAAATTGAATTAAAAACTAGCCAAAAAACTGTAGAATTAGACTAAATGAAATCGCATTATATATTTTTCAAGCATTGAAGCAAGTTTTTGAGCAGATTTGTTAGATTAAAAAAAAAACTTGTAATTTGGTTACTTTTCAGCTCAAATTTGGCGAATTTAATTGTTTTGAGCCGGCAACACTGATCAGGACTATTACAGAAATCTTTAGCAAAATTCTGAAGATTTTCCGGAAGACAACTTTTCCACTTATTAATTATATTGTTAAAAAAAATTCATTATAAGTTAAATGGATTGAACAACTTTTTTGCATATTGAAAAAAAACTATGTTTAGGGCGCTAAAGTATTAAGTGCCTTTTATTAACTATAAATGAAACAAAATCAAATATCTCTTTGTTAATCTACTAGATCCACTTACAACAAAATGTTCCAGAACACAATAACCACTCTAAAACGTTAGGTAAAAATGTGACATTGCTTTCTAATTGAAAATTTTTGTTTTTAATTATTTCTGAATTTATTAAATTTGATTTCTAGGTGAATTTCATGGACGATGTGGGTCAGACGTTGTTGAATTGGGCATCGGCGTTTGGAACACAAGAAATGGTCGAGTATTTGTGTGATCGAGGTGCTGATGTAAATAAAGGACAAAGAAGTTCATCGTTGCATTATGCGGCATGTTTTGGTCGTCCTGCAATAGCAAAAGTATTGTTACGTCATGGTGCAAATCCCGATTTGCGTGACGAAGACGGTAAAACGCCGTTGGATAAAGCAAGAGAACGAGCCGATGAAGGTCATCGTGAAGTTGCAGCGATTTTACAATCGCCCGGTGAATGGATGATTCCGATTGATAAAGATCGAAATCGAAAATCTGAATCGGACAATGAGGATAATATCGAACCGCGTGGTGATCCCGAAATGGCACCGATTTATTTAAAAAGACTTTTACCGGTGTTTTGTACGACGTTTCAATCGACAATGTTAGCGTCCGTTCGTAAAGCTAGTTTAGGATTAATTAAAAAAATGATACACTACATTCTACCTAGTTTATTGGAGGAGCTTTGCAACAATGAATCTAGTCCGAATTTTGGAACGCAATTAGTTGAAGTTATTGCAACTGTGTTGGATAATGAGGTAGGTGAACATGTGACTATTTATTGAGTGTTTTTTTGGTTGTGGTAATTAGAAAGAAAGGGGTTTGGGATTATAGTCAGGTTGCCTGATGGTGGCGCATTTTACAGATGACTTATTGCTGGCCCAACACTCATAAAACCATCACAGCACCCTTCAGTTTATTAGTGCGCACGATGCGTGCCTTGGTGCATGATAGGCGTGTTATTCCGTATCCCTCTCTGGTCAGTTTTACTTTTTTAATTCCCACTAAATCACTTCCTTGTTTGGTTTTCCCACAAATAACACATCTAAGAATTTTTTTTGTGTATTTCTAATTAAATTGTGGTAGAACTTTACATGATTAACTACTCTTCTCTTTTTTGTTTTCTTCCTGATCTGTCCACTTTTCCTCTTTCATTGCTTTTGCTTTTAAATGCCGAAAAATACACACGAGTTAATTTGACTTGTGTTTAAATCTCTTGTGTGTTTTGACTAAAAATTAAGTTGTTGTTTTAACTATATGGGAGACATGGGCGCCGACTGTTTATATTTTTCATGGGTCATTACACGAAAAAATGATTTCTTTTTCTCTATTGTTGCTTAATTTAATGTAAATATTTAATATTTAGAACATTTTTTAGAACAATATATTTTTCAAAAAATCAATAAATAACAGTCAAGAAATACAAAAGTGGTTAATGTATGTGTACAATAAAAAGTGTAAAGAAAATAGTGTAAAATGCAACAAAAGTTGTTGAGTTTAAAAAAATAATACACTGCTTTTAAATTTGAAAATATGACTTTTTTGAAAATTTGCATGAATGTTCGTAAATCGAATGAATAATTAATGCAATTAATTTGAAATGAGTAAAATTAGGATATGCAAAAGCTGAATAGTCTCAAAAATTAGTCAGTATTGTTCCTTGAAATATCAAAAAAAAATATATATTTTTTTTCAAATTTAACATGCAATATTGTAAAAAAAGTTGAAAAAAAATGTTTTTTCATTGTCATGAAGATTACACAATGTTCAGAAACAATTAATTCTTGTAATTCTTTTGTAAAACTGTAATCAATAAATCAAACACTACAAGAAAATCGGCAAATTTGGTTGAAAATTATGTTATTTTTGACTTTTCAATATAACAACTGAACATTTTCACTTGATTTATTATTTATGATGCTGAAAATGACACAATTTTTGCTTCTTCGATCGTTTTAGCATACTTTTAAGTCAAAAATGCATTTGAACAAAACGCAGAAAATGAGCAAATTAATGTTATTTGAGTCAATTTTGCTTGGTTTATATCATTTTTAAGCTAGAAAGTTCGCAAGATTTTGTACAAACAGACTAAAAAAAAAACACTAAATTAGATTGAAAATGAAGTTTTTTCGAACTGTTTTGCTTGATTGAGCTTGTTTGTAAGCTAGAAATGCACAATGCAGTTTTCCTGAAAAATATCGAAAATGATATTTTTACTTTTTTTAAACATAAAGTTTTTTTTTCAGGATATTTTACGAAAACTGGAGAAAAAAAAACATAACATTTTGTAGAAAAAATGACCAGTTTTCAGGTAGAAAGGGACTTTTTTCGGAAAATTTTGCTCCAACAAGCCAAACTTTAACTTTTTCAGGTGTTTAAGCACATTTTCAGTCAAAAATGCACTTTTCTCGAAAAATTTCGCCCAAACAAGTCAAAAAACGATGACATTGCGCTTTTTTCAAACATTTCTGCATGATTTTGAGCTAATTTTTTTTCAATCAAAATTAGATGAAAAAATACTAAATTAAATTTAAAATGATGTATTTTTTATGCGTTTGAACAGAGAACCGTGTTTTTCCTCATGAAATTTTACAACGGACAAAAAATCACAAAATTTTGTAAAAAAAATTTTTCTCAAAATTTCGCTCTAACAAAATTTTTGCTCAAAATTTCGCTCTAACAAGCCGAAAAATCACTAAATTAGGTCGAAAGTGGTCTTATTTTTGCTTTCTTCGTATGTTTTTGAGAAAAAAAAACAGTTTTTTTTATCAAAACAAACCGAAAAATAAGTCAAAATTGACGTATTTTTTTAAATATTTGTTTAAATGAAAAAAAAATTAATTTAACAATTTTCACAAAAAAAATAAAAATCATGCTTTTCTCTCAGAAACGCACTTTTCTAGCAAAATTTCGCTCAAAGAAGCCAAAAAATGATGTTACTTTTGAATCAATCGGCCCGAGAAAACAGTTTGATGAATTGATTTAGAAATTTAAAGCGTTATTGGGGCTTCATTAAGCTGTATAAAAAAACCTGGACACATTAGTCTCTCCAATATTTGTGAATACACGTTAGATTTACTAAAACAACAAAAAATTTGCGTTTTTTCTTTTCTTTATCAAAAAGATTTTTTTTTTCATTAAAAGTCAAATATCTCAGCGACAAATTGACGTAAAGAGGACATAAAAGAGCAAACTGAAGCTGAATGAACAACCTATCCCGCCCATGCATTGATTTAACTAATAAAAAAATTATTTAATCTAAGTACGACCATTTTTCATTTCAAAAATCACCAAAAAGTTTAAGATATTTTTTTGTTGCTTTAATATTTTGGAGTAGTATACAAAAAGTTTATGTAGTATGTTTTGTCGTTTTAAAGTATTTCAGTAATAACAAATTTTTTTCATTGAAACGGCTAATTTTGAATTAATTTAAAATATGGTTAAACAAAATAGAATAATAAATAAAATAGACTTATAGAAAATTTAATACATTAAAAGTGATTTTAACGAATGCAACGTTACTAAAAAAGATAAGAAAAAATTCCGAAATTTCAAATATTAAGAGTTTTTATTATTTTTTTTACCTTAAGCAAGAGTATTTTTTTATTACCCATGTAGTCGGCGCCCGTGATGGGATACCGAAAATTCTCGAAAAAGTAGCCTTAAAAAGCGAGTAATTCTAACAGTTTTGAAGCTTGTACTTAGTAGATGAGTTAAAACTGTTGTAATTCAACTTTCTTTAGGATGACGAAGACGGCCACTTGATCGTCCTCGCCATCATTCAAGACCTGATGGCGAAATGTCAGGAAACTTTTCTGGATCATTTCGCACGTCTTGGAATCTTTTCAAAAGTTCAAGCTTTAGCTGGTCCTCCTGAAATGCAAGAAAACGAAGAGAATGAACAACAACAACAACAACAACAGACGACCGAAGGTGAGTTGTTTTTTTGCTTCAATCAGTGTGTGTTAATTTTTTCTTGTTAGAAGTTACCGAACAAAGTCAGGCGGAAGATGCCAAAGAAATTTTACCAGGTAAAGCCTACCATTGGAGAGATTGGTCAGTGTGTCGAGGTCGAGATTGTTTGTATATTTGGTCAGATGCGGCCGCTCTTGAACTATCAAACGGTTCAAACGGTTGGTTTCGTTTTATTCTTGATGGAAAATTGGCAACGATGTATTCGAGCGGATCACCGGAAGGTGGTGCTGATACTTCCGGTAAGTGGCGAAAAATAAGGTTCAAAGTTATTGCACTTAAATAAGTACAGCATGAGAGATATGAATTATTTGATCAGCTTGGAGTAATTTTTTTTTTTTAATTTGATTATGCGGCTTTTAGAAAAATCATTTCAAATGCGTATCATCATACACATTGTGATTAGTCATTTTTATACGGATTTTTTGATCATGTCATGTATTTGCTAATATTGCATTGTTAATATTGCTGAGTGGTAACACAAGTGATTGTTGATTTGTTTGTCTTCAATAGGCAAAGGACGAGCCGCAGACACACTCACAACTGAAGGTAAGACAGCTTCATTTTATATGAAAAAAAAAAACACAATTGCCTAATAGTCGCTCACAGCTTCGCCTATCGATTTTTTTTTTATCATAAATTGCTTTGCATCTTTGCTCATTTTTCTGTTTTTTTTTTTAACCATTTGAATGCACCATTGTACTAACAATAACCATTTGAAACTTCAGAAAATCGAGGAGAATTTTTGGAAAAGTTACAACGGGCTCGTGCTGCTGTCAGAAGCAATGTTAGTTCAATACCAATCTTGTCAAAACCAGGACCCACACGATTGGTGGTTGGAAATTGGTCATTAACATCAAGAAAAGACGCTGAAATACACATCCATAATTCTGATGGACAACATCAAACTACTATTTTACGAGAAGACCTTCCTGGTTTTATATTTGAGTCAAATCGAGGCACTAAACATTCATTTACAGCTGAAACAAGCTTAGGTAATTGTGTTAAATAAATGAGAGAAGAAAAATTAATTTTGTGGTATTTTATAGGTCCAGAATTTTCCGCCGGTTGGACTAACAAAAAAGGCAAACGTTTACGCTCAAAAACCGAAGCAACCAAAATCAAAGTGAAATATTTAGCTCATTCGATCTACGAACAGTATTTCCGTGCTGCTCAAGCTCAACCTCGTGGTGTTGTCGCGAAATTAGGCAATATTGTTGCACAAATCGAACGTGCATGTCAGAAACAATGCTCTTATGGTAATAATCGTGAAGGTGGTAATTCATGGAAGGAAATTCTAAGGAATGCACTCGATGATCTCACTCAAATTCTCGAAGATGATGGTGTTGTTAGTGCTTATGAATTGCACAGTTCTGGTTTAATTCAAGCATTGTTGTCACTTTTATCAACTAGTTATTGGGATCAAGGCTTAAAATCGAGTAAAATGAACAAATATCAGAAACAAAGAGTGCAAGTATTTAAACAGTGTTTCAAGAACGATGAAAAGAATTCAATTCAGATTTTGGTACATAAATTGGTATCGGTACTTGAAAGTATCGAGAAATTACCAGTGTATCTCTATGATTCGCCAGGATCGGGTTATGGATTACAAATTTTAACCCGACGTTTGAGATTTCGATTAGAGAAAGCACCAGGTGAAAGTTCATTGATTGATCGGACTGGTCGTGGTCTCAAAATGGAACCTTTGAGTACTGTAGCACAATTGGAACGTTACTTATTGAAAATGGTAGCAAAACAATGGTACGATTATGACAGAAGTACGTTTCAATTTTTGAAAAAATTACGCGAGAGTAAATACCAAATGTTTAAACATAGTTATGATTTTGACGAAAATGGAATTATTTATTTTATTGGTACTAATGGTAAGACCAGTACTGAATGGGTTAATCCAGCTCAATATGGTCTAGTATCGGTGACGAGTTCCGATGGTCGAAATTTACCATATGGTAGAGTTGAAGATATCTTATCACGTGATTCATCAGCTTTAAATTGTCACACAAATGATGATAAAAAATCATGGTTTAGTATTGATTTAGGTCTTTATGTAATTCCAAGTGCGTATACATTGAGACATGCAAGGGGTTATGGACGTTCCGCTTTACGTAATTGGTATTTTCAAATGTCACGTGATGGTATCACGTGGACAACTTTATATACACATACTGATGATACTTCATTAAATGATCCAGGATCGACTAGTACATGGCCGATTGAATTATCATCAAGTGAGGAACAAGGTTGGCGTCATGTTCGTATCCAACAAGCCGGTAAAAACGCATCCGGACAAACCCACTATTTGAGTCTTTCTGGTTTTGAAATTTACGGTCAAGTAGTCGGTGTGTGTGAGGATTTAGGTAAAGCGGCGAAAGAAGCCGAAGCACATTTACGAAAACAGAGACGTTTACTTAAAACCCAACTATTAAAACATATGACAGTTGGTGCTCGTGTTGTACGTGGAATTGATTGGAAATGGCGAGGACAAGATGGTAATCCACCAGGTGAAGGTACAGTTACTGGTGAACTACATAGTGGTTGGATTGATGTCACGTGGGATCATGGTGGTTCAAATTCATATCGTATGGGTGCTGAAGGTAAATACGATTTGAAATTAGCACCAGGTTATGATGTAGAAACTGCAACAACATCAAAAAACACATCGAGTAAAAAACAAAGTGTGTTAACTAGTCGTAAAAGTAGTTCAACGCCGAGTTTACCCGAAGCGACCGATGTTAAAACATCGGTAGCGTCAACAGAACAAGCTGCTTCAGCTGATAATTTAGCTGCAAAACAAGCTGCTGAAACTATAGCTGAAAGTGTGCTTAATATAGCACGAAATGAAGCTTTAGTTGCTGTAACTTCAGAATCTCAAGCTGCAAGTAACGATTCAGAACTTTCAGTTGTTGTACATCCATTGCGAGATCCACATCATGATTTATCAACGATTAATAATTCAAGTGATTTGGCAACGATTGTTGAAAGTTTAGCACTTTCGGACACTAAACCGGTGAGTGTGACAACAACTAGAAGACAAAATTCGGATGATAGACCAAATACATCAGAGAAAGCATCAATGGTGACAAGTAATTCAACTTCAAATTTGAATAAAAGCTCGAATCGATCAAAAATTAATAATAGTCAAGTGGCTGCAGCAGCAGCACAAACTTTCGTCGAGGCAGTTGAAGCATTAGATAAACTTCGTGAAGGTTCGGATATGTTACGAAACAACACGAATAATTTCCTATCCGGTGAGTTACGTCAAACTGGTTTGAGTTTGGGTGGTGGTCAGACTAGCCAACAATCAATAAGCTCTCTAAATACAGGTGTACGAATTTCGGTATCGGGTAATCCGGAAACAGACGAAGAAAAGCCGGTAAGAAGGAAACCTGACGAACCATCAACAACAAAAGATCCATGCAGTGAGAAAGACGAAGTTACGAATAATGCCCGAAATACGAGTAATAATACAATTGTTGTAACAAATCCAATGAGTGTCAGTGTACCAAATTTGACATCGACTGAAGCGAATAGTCAAATTGAGCCAAGTTCTACTGCAGGTCTTTTGGAGACGTTTGCAGCGTTGGCACGAAGACGTACTTTGGGTTCGGTGACGACAACAAATAGTTCAAATGCAAATCCGAATAATTCTGGTGCTATAACGAATTCTAATGCACAGAATAATCAAAATACTGGTTCGTTGTTTCCAAGAGGACCGAATTCGGTGTCGAGTTTGGTGCGACTCGCATTATCGAGTAATTTTCCTGGAGGTTTGCTTAGTACAGCTCAAAGTTATCCTAGTTTATCATCGAGTAATAATACAGCAGCTCAACAAGGTGGTATTTCGACGACTGCAGGAACGGTGCAAGGATTGAGTCAGGCGTTGACGATGAGTCTTACGTCGACGAGTAGCGATAGTGAACAAGTGTCATTGGAGGACTTTTTAGAATCGTGTCGTGCTCCAACACTACTCGCCGAATTGGATGATGATGAGGAAATGGGCGATGAGGATGATAATGACGATGATGAAAATGAAGATGATGCTGATTATGATGAAGTTATGGTTTCGAGGAATTTATTGTCGTTTATGGAAGAGGAAGGTTTTGAAACGAGTACGAGACCGAGTAAACGAAGATCATGGGATGATGAGTATGTGTTGAAAAGGCAATTTTCCGCTTTAATACCGGCGTTTGATCCACGACCGGGAAGGACGAATGTCAATCAAACTACAGGTAAATTTATTTCTGTTTTTTATTAAAGTATTTGAACTCGTCGAATTTGAGAAATAATACATTTTATCTAAAATATGTACTATTAATTTCTACCTAAATTCTATTCTAAATAAAATAAGAAAAACATGTTGCTGCAAAGGAGTTTCACAGTATTACTGAATTTTTAAACTATGACGACAATACATTGTTTTTTTTTGTGATATATATTTTATATCAGTTTGAGCTAATAATAATATAAATAAATATAATATTTGACCCGGCAAAAGAAGAAGAAACCATTTGACAGATAATTATTGAAGAAATTATCTGACAAATAATTTCCAAAACTTTTGCACTCCACTCACCCGGCGGTTTAGACTTGCAGTCAGGCAAGATTTATCATTATTGATTTTTGAAACGAGATTAATATAGAAAAAAACTATTAAATTCTAGCGTCACTACAATCTTCCGCCTCTCGCAACATAATGAATTTTTATTAATTAAGTTATTATTATTTATTTATAACTATAATTACAACTTAAAACTACGCTACACTAGACTAGACACTAGACAAAGATATTAATTAAAAGTAGCACAGATAAGAGATACAGTTTTTTGCCAGGAATCACTGTTTAAATCAGAGTTTTTACAAATTTTATTAAATTATAAATTGTTTGGTCTTCTACAAATTTTGAAAAAGAATTTGAGAAATAATTCACTTTATATAAAATATCTACTATTAATTTCTATCTAAATTCTATTCTAAATAAAATTAACATGTTGCTGCAAAGGAGTTTCTACAGTATTACTGATTTTTTAAGTTATGGCGACAATACATTGTGAATTTTTTTTTGTGATATACATTTTTATATCTGTTTAATTTGTATTATGTTTTGTGAATTCAGTCACATTATTATATGACATGTGTAGAGCTTTTGAGCTAATAATAACATAAATAAATATAATATTTGACCCGGTAAAAGAAGAAGAAACCATTTGGCAGACAATTATTGAAGAAATTATCTGACAAATAATATCCGAAACTTTTGCACTCCACTCACCCGGCGGTTTAGACTTGCAGTCAGGCAAGATTTATTCATAAAGCAATTAAGTATTTTTGAAATGAAATTAATGTAAGAAAAACCTTTTAAATTCCCGAATCTAGCGTCACTACAAATCTTCCGCCTCTCGCAACATAATGAATTTTTATTATTTAAATTTATTATTATTTATATTATTATGAATTTCGTTAATATTAAGACATTTCCTAACAATATTACAAGTTTTTAAAAGGACTACTTTTTGAATCTCAATAATTAAATTTGAATTTAATTTGCAAAGTTTAAGATTTACTTTTAATAATAACAAACCTTATTTTTACAACAGGTGTCCCATTTACAGTAAAATTTTATTTATAACTATAATTACAACTTAAAACTACGCTATACACTAGACTAGACACTAGACAAAGATATTAATTAAAAGTAGCATATATAAGAGATACAGTTTTTTGCCAAGAATCACAGTTTAAATCAGTGTTTTTACAAGTTTTATTAAATTTTAAATTGTTTGGTCTTCTCCAAATTTTGAAAAAGAATTTGAGAAATAATTCATTTTATTTAAAACAATTAATTTCTATTTATAATTTAATAAATACTTACTGTTGCACACAAAAATCACAAATTCTCACACTTCACTTCACAATAAATAAAAAAATAGAATGCACTAACCTTTATAGCATCTTCTTCTGCTACCCTTTGTAGCCATTGGCCTCTGCTTCTTACACGGACCTACTGCAAATAAAGAAACAAAAAATTATTTCAACGTGTTATTAAATTAGTAATTAATAAATACAATTTAATAAGTGTAATTTCTCTTAAAAATTCAAAAGGTATTGTTGACTTACCCTTTAATCCGGATCCTTGTAGCACGATTGTCTTCTCCATTACCCCCATTGGCACTCACTAATCACTCGAAATTTTAAAAATCGCGCACTACTAAATGTCTATTAGCACTCGAAAATACACAACACGCACTCACTGGTCACC